TGCGGTCACTGATACCTCCATGAATTGCACATCACTTGCAACCACTATCTGTCACAGAAGGCAGAGCAGGGGCAGAGAGAAAGTACAAATTATATGTTTAGGTTGTGACAGTACAAGCTCTGACCAAAGAGTTGCAGAGGCATTACTCAAAACATAAGGCAAGGAATTTAAACATGAGAGAGAGAAAGCTTAACACAAAACACCACTCATTGCCGCCATGATGAATGGACATACTGGACATAACGCCCCATGAATGCACTTTAATTGCCACCATATCTCTGAGAACGCTAATGATTTCTCTGTTACTGGGTGACTACTGGCGCTGATCATTAGGACCTTATGAATTGAGGCTTAATTGCGTAGCTAGGGCCAAATGTATGCATATTAGTCTTTTAAATTACCTTAAAAAAGCACAGATAGCACTGAGATGCTATTTACTTGGGGGTGCAATTCAAGCTTCATTATTTCTTGTCCGCAAAGGTTCAGCCACAACACCTTTGGTAAAAGGGTTTTGCAAACTAGAAGTATTTTCCATTCCTTTTCGCTTTACCAGGATGGAAAAAAGTTAGTTTTTCCAATATGTAATGAATGTATTTTGTCAAATGTATTCAGGAATTAAAGTATTGGTATTCATAATCTTGTGTGCTTTTTCTTTTATCTCCCAATTCATTACTCACCTTCTAATGCTAACATTTGATTCATTTCCAACTATAGCTATGCTTGAATCCCTCTTCCAATTTTAGGGGTCAAGGTGTCGGAAGATCTGATTGATGATTCTGGCTTTAATTAGTATAGCCTGTTTTAGTGATATCAGCAATTCTTTACAGGCTATGCTAATCTGTGCCAGAATTAGCAATGCAATTGGAACGGATGCATTTCTCCGTGACGATGATTTTTGTGCCGCGGATGTTTTGGAGTTTCTCTTTTTATGTTTTGGCTGGTTCTGAGTGATTGCTGAAACGCCCGTCTATCAAGGTGCAGGTCTGCAGACAAGATATCCTCTGAAATGACCAGAGTGGAGAATATAAGTTTGCAGTAGGTCTTTATGTGCTGCTGTCTTTTCTGAGACATCCAATGTGAAGGAACTAGATGAGTGTAAATGTCAAATATGATGTCAGTATCTCTCTAACCCCTTACCTGTATTCTTCTTTCAACTTTGTTGTTGGATAAGGTGGATCATTGATGTCAAAAAGTACCATCCTGTAGCTGCTGTCGTGTTCTGTTGTTGTTATTTCCATTAACCTGCAATGTGAGAGGTGCCTAACCTAGGGCTGCTCGATTATGGCAAAAGTCATAATCTCGATTATTTGGGTCAATACTTGTAATTGCGATTATTAAATGCGATTATTCATTGACTTTGAAAACATCCATTTATTGGAGAAAAATGTTTGAACACTATGTTTTTAACAGTTGATTACCCTGAACTTTAAGTATAATTCAACTGGAAAAAAAATAAAAAAAAGAATTATAATAATAAAAAATAATCGTTTTATTTCGATTACGTTGTTTTCGTAATCGTTGCAAGCCGTAATCGTGATTAAAATATGAATAATTGAGCAGCCCTAGCCTAACCTGTAGAAACGTAATGTATTAGCATTCCAGTCCTTTTGGAAAAAGCCATTATCTCTGCAAAAGCTTGTTTGACCTTTATGATGATAAATGTATAATGCTATGTATATTCTTTATACTTCACATATGGAGTCCTCCAAAGACGCTATATATAGATTCATTCTATCGTTTTCATGTTTTATTCATTTTGGAAGTATTTTGAAGAATCTGTGGTAATCCTTCACAGTTCTACAGTATTACTACCATCATCGCCCATACATTCATTAGTTCCTTCGCTATATAGTCGTTTATTTTGTCAGAGGTAGATTCAAAGACGATGCATAAACGTACTGGACTACATTTAGCTGTCAAGCAATGATGTAATATGTAAGAGCAGATCCTCGAGTTCCACGCATGTTGAAAACAAAAGTGTGTCAGTAAGCTACACAGATTTATAAAAAGATGACATCAAGTTTTCAGAGTGAATCTCGTGAATCTTCTGCCCAAAGCGACTGATACATGTGTCATTTACAATTGAACGGTCGGGTGCAAAATCAATCAGCACTGAAATCCTAAAGCTATAAGTCTTTACTCCTGGCAGAGGATTTCTTACAGATCTTAGTGTATAGATCAAACTTATTGAAGGTATAACAGTTTGATGCTTGCGCTCACAATTGAAAAATGGTGCTTTAACTCTTGGAAAATGTTCCCATTAGGCGCGTTCACACCGTAGTACTTTTCCCACTTTAGTTCCGATGTAGTTCCGAAATGTCGCGTTCACACCAAAAAGAGCCGGAACTAAAATGAGTTCATCAGAACCTTTTTACCCCCTTTTTCCGTCCCTGCTAGAGAGCAGGGACTTTCGTGGGAGAAAAAGGTTCCTATTTCTGTTTGGCTGGGCGGATTGCAAACCACGCCTCGTAAAACTCCATAAAAGTTTTGTGAAGCCGCCATTTTATTATCCTTGCATTAGCATTATTAGCATTACCATTAGCCCAGCGCACAAACGCAGAGAGACTAACTTATGGCAACACAAAAGAAAACATGGGAGCGGTGGAGATGAGGAGGTGTCGGCGTTCTGGCGATTTAGCCATTCCCCAACTCCGGGGACTTCCGGCCGGGGACTTCGGGTGGCAGTATACGGCGTGAAGTTGTTTGCGGCCTGCAAGTAAACCCAAACCAGAAGAAGAAGAAGTGACATCAGCGGCTTCATTTGCCTAATCCTCCCTCAGGGACTTATTCCGGTGTGAACGCGATCTGTACTTAGTTCATGAGAACTAAAGAGTTCTCATGAACTAAGTTCTGATGAACCTTTGTGGGAAAAGTACTGCGGTGTGAAAGCGCCTNATTTGATTGGCTGACGCTTCCAGCTCAGCTTCAAAAGTTGAACATTGCTCAACTTTTGAATCCTGAAAATCTTGAAAATCCTGGAAATCTTCGCTTTGCTTCCCCACAATGCAGTTCGGCGAAAAGCGAGGCAAAGTGACGTCACCCCCATTCAAAGTCAATGAGCAGAGAAGCGTTGGAAGGTTTTTTTAAAGTTGCTGTGTGAACGGGGCACCAGTTGCTCTAATCACCCAGTGCCCAAACACGCCTTCAAAATAAAAGCATAGAAACTACTTTAACTTATGACACTAACTAAGAATACATTTACAATAAACACTATAAACAGCAAGAAAATAAATGTTAAACTATTAAATATAAAGAGATATATAGCTCCAACACCTTCCATGCACACATTTGTAAGCGTGAATGCAGGTTGGATTAGGCTGATATAATTACTACGTTCATGTGAAGCCGATGTAAGGATGACACAGAACAGCAGTGTGTGTGAGGGCATCGAATTCTCTCATGAATCTTTCATCATTCAGATTAGATTTCGCAGAACATGTCTGCTCTCAGGTGACTCGTCAACTCCGTGCGACCCCTGTGTTTTAAAAGGTCATTATCAGCATGTATAAACAGTATAAGGGCACTCTTCACATAGTTTGTAATCTGTGGGGGTTTGCAGCCTAAGCGAGTTACAGGAGTTGAGTGATGGCTCAGCGGATCTCCCTGCGGTGTCAGGTCTTCATTAATTTGCATCAAAAACACTAAATGCTTGACAAGTTTCACACAGAACAGTAGACTAAAAAGAAAGCGAGGATACGTTAGCACCTCATATTAGCCTCCTTTTCTCCTCAGTCCTCTGTGGATGTGTTTCCATGGTTACTCTGTTTTGTCTGATTTCTTTTCCCATCTCACCTCCCACTGGCTTGACTTTATTCTTTATTTGTTCTCATGTTTTTCTCAGTCTTTGCAGGGCATGCTCTTCTCCCTTCACTCTGAGCTTGACATTCAGAGGTACTTGATGAAAATCCAATTGGCCCACAGAGTTAGTCAGCCTTTCATCTTATCTGCATCGTGTGTGTGTGTGTGTGTGTGTGTGTGTGTGATGCATCTTCATCCTCACTAACTGCTGCTGCTGCTGTGTGACCATTTCTACCTAAAAAGTGTGTCCCGCCGTGCCTCCCAGAGTCTGACCTGCTCAGGATAAACCAAGAACTGCATTTCATATAAAAGCTTAAATTCTTTATTTGCCCGTACGTGTGAGAGAGCAGCATGCAGGTGTGTTTAAGGTAACCTGGTGGACCCGTCTTCAGCTGCCAGGAAAGGAAATAGGAGCGTTTCATAAAGCGCCAAGTGTTCACTGACCTCTCAGTTATTGTCCCGCCTCCTCCACTTCTGCCGATCACCTTACAGCGCCTCACAATGCCTCCCTGGCTCTCTGGCCTCATCACACTTTGAGTTATTGAAGAGGATCTGCTTACAGAGTAGCTCACCTTTCTACAAGTGATGTGACACACTTCTCGATCCTTAATCAGTTTGAAAACTTATTTTAAACACTGTTAGCATTATTATTAGACAAGCCCTGTTGTGCTTTAAGGGCTTCTCCCTTCCCTGTAGTGTGTTAAATAGGTTTGTGTGCATGTCAATGGTGTGCAAAGGCTTCAATCCCAAAGACATGTCCCAGTAGAGACACTACATACTGATATGAACCTGGTGAATATGGAAAGTAAAAGTTGACGCTCTTGTAGAATGGTTAGAGGCTTACTGATGCTTTCAAACCCTTATTTACCTTGAGGTGCTTTTGGGACAGAGCTGCGTGGTATTTGATAGATTCTTTTATTCACATTTGCATGACTGCTATGGTTTGGTTTATTCACTTCTTGTTGTGCTGGAGTCAAGCTTGACATCAAAGGTGTTTTTATTCCAGTGTGACTCACAGCACATGACATTGACAGATACTGTTGTTTCCTAACTCCCCCGAATGCACCGTATCTCAAAAACTTTGCCACGTTTCTTTGTGTCGTTTCGATATGAATGCATGTATTGTTCAATGTTTTGTGTCCAGTGTCTCCACGGTCTCACCCTTTTACTGTATCGTGTTTCCGTTGCCTCCCCCCCTCCAGAGCAGAAGCCCAAAGCACGGCCCCAGCAGCGTTGGAGAGGCGGACCACCTCTCCCTGGCCTCCCTGGAGTCACTGGACACCATGTCTGAGGCCGACTCCCCCACAAACTTCACCCGCGGCAGCCGGGTTCGAGCTAGCCTGCCCGTGGTGCGATCGACCAATCAGACGAGGGATCGCTCGCTAGGTACGTTAGCTGTTGTTTTTTTTTATTGAAGTTTTCAAATATAACGAAAATTACACATACATTAAACGGTCAGTCTAGGTGGCAGATACAGTGGCATAGGCATGTAAATAAATACAGGTCAGTATACAGATGATACAGGGATAACAAAGTACAGAAATCTGAAAGAATACGACGTGGGCTACTACACTTTATAATCTTTTTCCCGTTGCCCCCCTCCCCGCCCCGGTCTTTGGTTTTATTGATCATTACCAACAGTATTTTTCAAAAACTCCATGAAGCACCCCCAGATATGTTCAAACACGAGCCAGCTTTCCTTTGGTAATGTATGTTAGTTTTTTCTGAAGCCCATTGTGTGACTTACTGAAACGGCTCCAGGCGTAGATAGAGCACAGTGTGATCGCAGTGATGCTGAGATACAGGTGAGCTGCCTGGCTCTCAGGGACTGGCATTCTGCTCTGGCCTTTGATTGGCAGGGGAGCAAATGGCACCAACATCTGCAGGTATTAGCATCAGATGCTAAAAAAAGACACACTCACACAGAGACAGACACATAACACACACTTAAGCACACATGCATTGTGTGTGACTGGCCTCAGATGTAGCCTCCAGCCCTCTCTGTTTGCCTGGCTCCGAGCAGGAATATCAATCCAGCGGTTTAGGCTTCACTTTGAAGCAGCCAGTAGAGGGAATGTGCTCTCGTTAGCATAATCACTTTTTCTCATGGACGTCCTTTAAAGCTTAATGTTTTAAGTCATTCGCCATTAGTCATTATTTAGCTTTCACAAGGGACATGATTAAGTCTCTACATCTTGAGCTCACACACACAATTTACTCAAGACTCAATGTGATTGATTCTGTTTTTCCGGTTTGTTACTCTACTGCCCACTGTGCCATGTTATCTATTCTACATCTATGTTGATGAATCATCTGTTCTTATGGCAAACGGCAATTAACTTGCATGTTTAAGATCCCATCAATCTTGTCCAGCTGTGTTTAAAACACGCGCAGAGCATTCGACTTTACAGAAAGCCAATGATTGCATTACTTCCCCCGTTACATCAGCTTAGGCCAAACACAGTTAATGCTCTCAATTATCTATTCCCAGTCTGGCTTTTATCCCTGTCTGTCTTTTGTCTTCTTTATCAGCTCATCAAAGGAAACAATGTTGGAATTTTTGGGCTAATTATGTGACTTTGGAGAAACTAAAGTAATTGGTTTAACTTTTTGTGTCTTAATATCAGACCAAATGGTTTTCTTTTACATATATTGTACCCCATGTTGTGTGTTTATGGATAGATCTAAGTGATTTTAATAGTTTGAATATCAATGTGACATGACATACCCACACCTTCCTCCTCTATCTGTTCATTTTAATCGTCCTTACAGTGATAAACCCGGTGTAACCTTGTCGATAACATCCCCGCTGAATCCTGCCCATCAGCAGAGAGAAGGAGAACGGAGTAAAGTGCAGGGCCCCTTGAGGTCACCTCTGCATAACACCAGCCCCCTCCATTTAGCAAAGTCTCATTACCTTCCTCCTCTCCAAACTGTACGCATGGAAAGTGTTATGCCTGAGCAGCTATAGGCTCTTAAGCTTCCTTACTTTATGAGGCTCCCGCAATGTGTGTGGGTGCATGAGCGATCGCACACGCTGAGGAGCGCTGCCTCTGTCTCCAAACATTGATAAGACGCTCCGAGGGGGAATTTCTCTATTTTGTATCATTGCCCCGAAGCAAAAAAATAAACTATGATGCTATACTTACATTTTCACTTTTGATTTGCAGTAAATCAAGACGAGAACACATGATAAGTAATTGGAATGCCAGTAATTTGCCGGTGCATTGAGGAAAACATGAATCAGAGTTATTGAAGATGGAGTTGCTGGGTTCTGCGGCGGGCAACGTATTTTACTCTCTGCTGTGTTCGCCAGCTCCTTTGGATTTGCACAGAATATATTGCACTGATTCTGACAGTGAACGATTTTTGAGAACGTGATGGAAACCAGGGTGTGATAAGAAGAGATACATTCTGTCTTCAGAGATGTTCAATGCCGTCTATACTGAGACATCAGGCATTGTTTAAAATCAATGAGCAGAACTGTGCGTTTTGTATCAAGGCGATGAGGTTCCTTATTTGTCAGGTTTTTAACATGTTATCGAAATGTATCCACTCACCATTCTGTATTAGCGGTAAAGCTTAAATAATGTATCTATTACTCAAGAAAATGAGGATGAACAATTCAAATGGCTTTTAAAGCAGAAAGCAAGCTTCTACATTTTGAGAATGTGCTGGTTTTCTTTATCTTCTGAGACAGTAAACACAATGTATGTAAAACAAGTAGTTAAGGGAGTCTTGGTTGGAGGTAACAAACAATTTGAAGTTGTTTTGTCTCCGGTGAAATCACAATTTTCTATTACACGGAATACACAGCCTATGTGTCATGTTCAAAATCAATTGCTTTAAAGCAGAAGACAGATAATAAAATGTTGCTCGCATCGTTAATCAACAGATTTTATTGAAATTACAATAAATGTTTATGCTGTGTTATATGTTCATTTAAAATGGTCATGTTCTGTTAATCTTCTATTCCATTATACTGGCTCTGTTCTTGTCTTTAAACTATGAGATTGTCAAAAGGATGGAAATGGCCGTTTTTTGCCTGATGTAGAAAAAATGCGACTTTGATGGAGCTTCACTTCCGAATGTAAAATATATTTTTTATTTCACAAAAAATGGAAGCCCTGCTGCTCCTTGTCCATCAGCTAAGCTAACTGGCAGTTTGATATGTGAGGTGCAATAGTGCTCACAGTCACTTTCCCTGTGAATGATTGGAGCCAAGAATACCACCCTGTCCAGCAGTTAATGACAGTCCATTGATTCAGACCATCCCCTTTTAGCTGAAAAGAAAAAGCCCCCCAGAGGATTTTTCTTCCCTGGATGCTTATGTAAGTCACAGATTTCTTTAGCTAAATGCTAGTTTAAGTGTCTCTCTTGGGACATAACCAGCAGAGCCTTACCGACTTATTAGCCTTAACAGACCCTACATCAAAAGTCCACTCAACATTTGATTTGCAGGCGTGTGCTGCCTGGTTTATTTGCAAAAGCTAACGTTGTGTTAAAGTGGATTTGTATGCCCAGTCAAACATGTCAGCTCTCCAACATGTCATTCCCCCAGTGAGACTGAGGTCAGTCCGAGCTGGCTGGGGTCTGAATATTCATGATCAGTTCAAAGTACTGTTGGAATTGGATAAAAAAATCATTTTTTCAGGCGAAATTCAGCTCATTTAGAAGCACTCATTTGATTTGATTTAAAAGCCAAGATTTAAAGTTTGGATTATTTCTCTTCCCAGTGGATTTCAGCAGCAAGGCTTTAACCAGTCTCTAACATCTCTTGAGATGTCTCCATTGTTACTTTGAGGAAACGGCAGCGTCTTAAGAAAAGACAATTATCTTCCAGCTCTCTCTGCCGTAATACACTCTCCTGTCCATTACTATTCCTCCTCTGTCTTCTTTTCGCCTTCCTGCCTTTGTACAGTGTACTGTACGCCGCGTCAGAAATAACCTTACAGATGCACTTGCATCCATATTTGCAAATCCACATAGCTGGCAGATGGCACGGAAAGCCTTACATCAGCATTATAGGGTGAGGGACTGAGTTTTTGGTCAGCATCCAAAACTGAGGGACACAAAGTCCTGCAGTATGAGGCAGAGGTAAAAGCTATTGAGAGGAAATCAAAAGCTACTGTAGGCCTTGATGGTGATGAAGAAGAGAGAGGTCTGAGTTCTGACTGCATTCAGTTCAAACTTCTAACTTTCCCAAGTTACAGCATGGAGCATAAAAGATGCACCTTAAATGAACTCCAAATGGATTTTCTTTACCTCCCCGCCCTTTGTGATGGGTCGATCTGTGCACACTGTGAGAGACTGTGGAGCCATAGGTCTCATCTCATAAACTGTTCATACAAATTATAGATTTTACCGCCCTGGTGTTGAAACAACCTCATGTTTTACAGTATTATTTAAAAGCGGTCCAGTTATTTTTTACATCTCCATGATTTTATGCTACTAGCTACTTCTACTTTACCACATTTAAGGGAAATATTGTACTTTTTACTTGTGTACATTTATCTTGGTTTCCATTAAACAAATAGAATATGTTGCACTGATATAAGTGAAATTACTCAACATAATATTCTTATATCTATTAGTTAAAATGTGTTCCATCTCAACCAGCTACAACATTACAATGCTGTGTACATGTTACTGCATCAGTAAAAATCATATAATACATGATAAAAATAACAATTTGGGGCCATTCCACTGCAATAAGATGGCTTTTACTTTTGATACTTATATTGCTGATAATAACTATGTATTTCTTATAATTATGTATCACCATGGCTTGCTCAAATTAATAAGCCCTTAATAACACCAATTGATGAATATCAGATTTTAAAAAAGAGTCCTGAAATAGTTCCTGTAGGAGTTTTTGAAGAAAGCAGCTTTTAAATCCCGCTTTAACACCTAAGAAGCATGCAAATGGGTTTGCAGTTGAGATGGCCAATGACTCACTTTTCACAGTTTACAAACTTGCTGGACATTCGCTTATCTGCTGAGTTTCCATGGTTTTCAGGACTTTAGGACTTGAAAGGCTCGTTAAACATAGTGTGCTCTTTCTGAACAGAAGGTCAGAGTTTGCCTTCATTGCCTTAAGCGTAATTTGCTGACCCCTGGCACATTTTATCTGCAGCGATAAGAAGTGTTTTGCTCCTTTTCAGGTTAAAATGAAACTGAAATGTCTGTTCTTCTTGCTCTCTTAACAACATTTTTTCCAGCGGGGGAGCCTGTTCACATTTATAAAGCACAACAGAAGAGCACATTCCCATCTGCTATGCAATCAATCCAACTTACTAGCAATGAAACAACCCGTACGACTAACCAGCAAATGGATTTCTGTCTTGATTTCCTGTCTCTTCCAGTTTCCAGCTTGTGTTGGTGTG